CCTCTGGCTCTGCTGCCACTTGGCGATTTCAATGTGCAACACATGCAGCGCACAGCAACTAATCGCAACAGCTGAGCGCCTGTTACGCAGCGTCTGCCAAACACCTGGAATGGGGCTCACAAATTCGGGATAGCCGAAGCGGGAAAAGCAGCCAACATATCCAACACATCCAGCAAACTACACTGTACGAAATTGTAGTTAAGTCTTGAAGCATTTACATATCAAATGTGCATGACGCTTTGGCAACTCAACGTTGCTTTAAGTACATAAATCTCTTTATTGAATAAAATTCAATAGCTGCTCAAAACAAAGTTGTTAAAAAATATAAAAATAAATTAAATATTAGGAGTTAATTTGAAGAATATAAGCAGAACAATTTTTTAAAATTTCGTTGAATTCAATACATGCAAATGATAAATGATCAAACATTAATAACAATTTTATAAATACATTTTTATTTTTATTTCGGAGCTTTGGAGCTTCAAATTATCTTTTTATTTCTTGCAGCTGCTTGAATTTGATTATAAAAAGGGAGAGGGAGGGAGGTAGCGAGAGTTTAAATAGAGCGAGGCAGAGAAATGAATTTTGAAGCCTGGAATTAAGTAAAAGAATATTACTATAATTATAATAATAATTTAACTATTATATTTATTATTATTATTTTTGAAAGTGTTGACAATTCGCTCTAACAAAATGTTGAGGACAAAACTAATATAGTCAATTTAAATATTGATGAGCGACCATATATTTCTATAATTGGTTAGGTAGTCGTAGGCAGTGATAGACTAAACGTACCATAGAGTATATACATATAAAAACAATAAGAGTGATACCAATAAAAGATTAATTAAGCATTAATGAACGATTTAATGAAAAGTTATATAATGAATCATAAAACATCTTATTATATACATGTATATTGTTATTATTTCAATTTAACGTCTCAGTTTTTCATTATTTTACGATAATGTTTGTATTATATGAAGATTGTATTGCTTAAGGAGATATTATACAATTAATTAAAATAAATTTTAATTATTATTTTAATATTATATTTAATATATTTGTAATGTTATATGAATTGTATTTACATTATACATTTTCAATATTTCAAAATAATTTTTAAATTTGTATTATAATAATTTATACCGTTTCTAAAATAATATTCAATTCTGTTTAATTTAAATAATTGCAAATACAATTACAATTTTTGTATACTTAAAATACAAATGTTATAAAATGTTTTTAAGAAAAATATAATTGAACATTTGTTGTTAATTGCCTGCAAAGCGTAATGCGCAATTTTAGCTGCAGCTTTGCGTAAGGGCTGTCTTCTACTTGTTGTTGTTGTTGTTATTAGGGGGATGATTCGCAGCGGCTGGACTTGCATTGAGCGTGGAGCGAGGGTTCAATGCGCGCACTGTCCCAAACTGTGGGAGAGCCAGCGACAGCGACATCAGCAGCAGCAACAACAACAACGGCAACAGCAACAAAAACTACAGCAAGCAGCAAAGCTTTAACAAAAACCTGTTTGCTCACCCAGCAGCAGAGCATCAGACCAGCAGAGCAGAGCAGAGTGGCAGAGAAGGAGATGGGTAGAGGAAGGGGCGATGCAAGAGGAAGGCTGGCAGCATTGACCTCAACTGAGTCAACGACAAAATATGCCAAGTCGCAGGCAAAAGGCAACAGCAGCAGCAGCAGCAGCAGCAGCAGGCAATCGAAATAATGCAGAACATGGTGCGAAATATTTAATACAGAAATGCCACAGCCAAATGGCTAAAAGGAGCTGTTGCCAGTTATAGCTGCTGCTGCTGTTGTTGTTGTTGTTGTTATTGTTATTGTTGTGTTATGTTGTGGTTGCAGTTGCAGTTGCAAGCGAAACCCGTTCCGGAGTCAACACTATCCCAATGCAAAAAGCACACATCACTCGCTGAGGGGCCACCTACATTTGGAGGCCTTAGACAACGGCTAAGCCTAAGCAGAGGCTAACACGCTGCTCGCTCAGCTTAATTGGGTCATTCACTTGCTCGACAAAGCACACACACACACACACATACTGACACACACGCAACATTTGAGCCAAAGCAACTTCCGGTACAAGACGCAGATACGCGAACGAACGAGACGAAGACAACTGACAGACAAACAGAGCGAGAGCAAGAGAGAGGGAGCGAGGGAGAGCGTGCTAGAGTTAAGTAGAAATTTGACTACATGCGCGCGAGTGAGAGGTGAAGCGAGTGAGTGCTCAGCCATGGAAGCGACTCGAAACACGAGCTAAATCTTTAATCTATAAATGTTAGTACAAAGCGACTCGGGCTAATTATGTACTCTTGATGTATCAGGGAATTAATCTTTAACAAGTCTATTATCTAAAGAAGTGAATTCCTCAACTGGAACCACATGATATTTGAACATTTTAGATATTCAAACGAGTTTCAAACTTAACTTGACTTCTATATGATCTACTTTTTAGATAATACCCCAGAATTTAAGATTAATCTTTAAAATAAAATAAATGAAAAGTATTAATGAACTGTGATTTGTATTCTGAGATAAACATATGGCTTTTAAGGTGAATATTTGAAAAAAATATATTTAGTTTTTTTTATTGGTAATATGAAATTAATATTAGAAATAATATTTAATTAAGTGTCATTTATGTGCGCGTTTTTTTTAAATATAGGTAATATTTATTTATATTTTAAAAATATATGAATATTCCAAGTATATACAAATAATCTGTATATTACAGGTAATTACAAATAATCTTTATAATTACTTCAAACAATTATTAATGAAAGAAATTCTTGGCATTTATCTACTTGTACTTTTAAAACATTTCTAGAAACACAGGAAGTTGAAACATAAATATAATTCATAAGCTAATAAATTTTATCTTCAACCACTGACGAATTTATTTATTAAGAAAATGTTAACAAACAAGTAAGAAAGCTCTAGTCGAGACTACTCGACTACGAGATCCCCTGAACCCTTGGAGTAATAGCTATTTCAATAATTTTTCGCGTCTTTCAGCTTACACAAGAAACACGCACACACACACACACACGCACGCACGCACGCACACACAGGCATACATACACACACATACATACACACATATACACACACACACATACACAAACAATTACACAACACACACACAAGCATAAACACGCATGGGCGGCAGTGAGCGCTTACTATGAGAACTTAATTGCTTAATAACTTTTTTGTGGACGTACGATCTTCATGAAACTTTCAGATTATGATTATGACATGGATATGCATGTAATTGCCAAAGCACAAGTCTCTAGTATTTGAAATACGCTTTTTACAAAAGTGAGGGTGAGGGGGTGAATTTAAGGGTGGGGGGTAAATTTTAACAAAAACCGAAATTGTATAAATTGCATATAGGCATACATTAAAATTTTGGAGACTCTAGCAATAAAGGTGTAGAAGATATAATTTTATAACTGGTTTTCGATAAGGTTTTTTATCGATAAAAAAAGATCGGGATGAGTTATCGATTTTTAATGATAAACTTGATATGCGCGCTGTAATTACGAACATTTAAAAAAAATTTTGAAGTCTCTAGCTCTTATATCTTCTGAAATCGACGCGTTCATACATACGGACAGACGGACAGACGGACAGACGGACAGACAGACGGACAGGGCCAAATCAACTCAGCTCGTCGCCCTGATCAAGAATATATATACTTTGTGGGGTCTGCCACGCCTCCTTCTGCCTGTTACATACATTTCAACAAAACCATTATACCCTGATTTCCCATTGAAAATGGGTTCAGGGTATAAAAAAAGGTATTTTTGATAATACTCAGCTGAAATTAGAAGCCACAAAGTAAACAAACAGCTCTTATTATGTTAGCTTTAACTCATATCGTGTTCTACCCCTCTCTCGCTCTCGCACTCCTTCGCTCTCCTTCTCTCTCACTCTCTCACTACTCTCTTCATATTGTACTCTCAAGTATGTGTGTATCTCAGTTCCTTAAATGTTTGATTGATTTGATTGACATTCGGATCGAATGTTAGCTGGGTGCTTGGAGAGTAAGAGAGTAAGATCACTTTCTATTCTAACCCTCTCTCTGCTCCCTGTGTGAGCAACGAAATAAGGATCAAACAAGGACAGCAACGCACAGCAGCAGCAGCAGCAGCAGCCGAGGCAAACACCGAAAAAGAGGGCTAGAGCGAAGCAGAGTCAACAAGAAAAGGCAAATAAAATGTTAACCTAACCAAAGCCGTAAAAACTCAACCGACAACTTTTCGAGTCAGCATACGCTGCCAGCGTCGCTGCCACCGTCGACGTCGACGCCGACAGCAGCAACGGCAGCACATCCATCATTCGTCGTACTGTGCAATGCGAGCTAAACTCCAAAGAAAATCCAGGCAATTGTTTCCAGAGAGCAACAAGAACGGCAGCAACTACAAAGTGCAATCTCAGTTTCGCAAGCGCTCTTTAAATTCGCTATGCTACGAGGGCTGGCACATGTTTTCCTGATTTGGATTTGTCAATACACAATAAAGCTTTTTTAATTTAGAACGCTTTCAAAATTCTCTTCACTTCCATTAGTTTTACTGCCTCCAATTAGCTATTTCGCGTAAATTGAAAATATATTTGGGCTGCCCTCGCACCAATTAAATAATCGCATTAAGCAACACTGATGCCGATGTGTGTCGTTGTTGCTGCTTTTGCTATTGTCGAAGTTAGAGTAGCAGCACTTAAACTGGTCCGCAGCTTGATCTATTTTTAGTTAAACCCAAAGCTTTTGCAAAGCTCTTGCAAAAGTTCACAAAACTCAGCTGCAATCAATGTGAAGTATTTAATGGCCAAGGTCTTTATTGGCCCACCCACACGCACACACGCATTCACGGATACAAGCAAATCCATATACACGCACACACTCATTCTACCAAAAAAAAAAAAATAAGTAAGGAGCTGAAAGCATAGAGAATTACAAATAAGAAGAAGCTTTTGTCACTTACCCAACATTAGCACGGGGCTTGGCGATAATCCAATTTGATTTTTTTCATTAGTTTGTTATTTCAATGAGAGCGACGCGTACATAAACAGCTACGATAAATTTATTAGATTGCACACGACAAAAACAACAACAACATGAGCAGCGCGGAAATCAGTTCAAAATTGCGGCAGCTACCGCTCTCTCCCTCTCTCTATGTGTGCATATGTGTGTGTGCAAAAATCAAAACAAAACACGACAAAAACACACACACACACTCGCATACACAGAACGAGAGCGCGAGAGCGACGGCTACTCAAAGAGCGCAAGCATAGAAAAAGAACAGCAACAACAAATTAAGCTGCGATCGCTGCTGTACAGTGTTGTTGTTTTTGTTTCTGCTGGAGCTGATGCTGATGCTTATGTTGTTGTGGATTTTTATGGCTGCCTTTTGTTTTGACTGCAACATGTTGAATGTTGCAGCCAAGTCACACAAACACACACTCTTACAATAAAACACACACGCACTCACAGCGTCCAGCGACAGGCCCTAACGGTAAATGTTAAAACTCTAGCAGCGCATAACTGAAACTTGCAATATACAAACGAATTTATTTAATCAGCAGCATTTGATTTAATTAACGCATTTAATAAATGCAATTCAGACGGAAGGTTTTTTTTTTTTTTTTTTTGCAACGAAAGGACGCGCGCTTAAGAACTCACAAATGCATTGGAAGCCATAGAATTTTTAATATTTTATATATTTAATTGGTTGCTTACTTTATTGAACACACACATTGAACATTAAACGTACACAGGTTTGTTTGTTTGTTAGATGTTCATTTCGTTAAACGTAAATATCCGCGACAAATGTACGAAACACCAAAAATGGTATAAAAAAACACCGCGTACGTGCTCTGCATACAACAGAAAAAAAAGCGGCACTGACGTTGTGTGACCGTATTCGGTGAAGCGTGAATTACCACAGTGCGACCAGAGCCCAGAAGAAACGCCGAATTACGGAACAGTGCTGTAAAGGGCCAACAGAAATATTGTTTCCCTCGCGTTGAGAGCATATTATTTTTCTCTAGCTATAATATACGTAAACCACATTAGTTTCTATGAGATTGTTTTATTATTTTCCATCAAATTGACAATATTATTCTGATGCTCCTTTTTATTGGTCTTGGAATTGTTTCGCCGCTGCAAAATACCACTAACCAGAGAACACATAGACCGGACAAGTAGTGTAAAGCGTTTTGCACACTTTTTTTCGGGAGTTATCTCCCAGACACTTCGTATTTGCTCGGCTCTTCACTTTTTGGGTTCGAGCTACGAAAACATACGAAAGCACAATCATTTCGCTTCATGCGCTCGACCGAGATGGTCGACTGTTGAACAAAGGATCCAGCTGCGCTGAATGTTTCCCTTGCTCTCTCTCTCTCACGATGCTCTCTGCTCTCTCAAATATGTATATGTATGTATGCATTTGAGCACAAGCAGCGCTCACAAATTGAAATTTCTTCGCAGCGAGAGCCCATGCCTACCCTTATGTGTGAAGAGTATACCGAACTTTTCAAACCGTTTGCCATGCGTTTTCGTTATTATTTGTGGGAAGGGTATGAAGGCGTTGGTGCGCATAATGAAAATGTTTTCGCGACGAGCATGCACACACACACTGTCCCTTGCTACATGTACTATGTACTGCATGTGAGCACAAGTACGCTAACGAAAATTGAAATTTCTTCGCAGCGAGAACCCATGCCTTCCCTTCTGAGTGAAGAGTATTCCGAACTCTTCAAGCCGTTTGCCATGCGTTTTCGTTATTATTTGTGGGAAGAGTATGAAAGCGTTGGTGCGCATAATGAAAATGTTTTCGCGACGAGCATGCACACACACACTTACAGTATGCTACATGTACTATGAGCATTTGTATGCCTGTGTGCGAAGCTCTTGCTGCCTGTAGCAATTTTAAATCCCAGCATTTGCATTTGGTCGATCTTGTGAAGTGCTCACATACATATGTATGTATGTATGTATATACATTTGATTGTGTGTACGCATGGGAGGCGCTGCTCACAATTTTGGGATATAACTTGTAGAAGCACTTGTATGCCTGTGTGCCTTTACATGTGCGTGTGTGTATGTGTTTGTATGTATGCATGGGAGATGAACATTGGCGTGTGCCTCCCTCAACTTAGAATGGTGTGAACGATTTTGGGCTTTGATTGAAGATGCGCGCTTATGTTTAAGTACCTGTTTTGATTCAATGATCGTCGGTTTACCTATCAGAATGAATGTTTTTTAAAAATGTGGTACCTGATTAATCCAAATTTTTGTAAAAATTATCAATTTGACCTATTTACGTATTCATCTTTTTAAAAAGGTGTCAAATTGACCTACATATGTATGCACAAGTGCAAGGGTTAAAAAAACACATCCCATTTTGCCCATTGGAATTAATCAGGTACCACATTTTTAAAAAACATTCATTCTGATAGGTAAACCCACGATCATTGAATCAAAACAGGTACTTAAACATAAGCGCGCCTCTTCAATCAAAGCCCAAAATCGTTCACACCATTCTAAGTTGAGGGAGGCACACGCCAATGTTCATCTCCCATGCATACATACAAACACATACACACACGCACATGTAAAGGCACACAGGCATACAAGTGCTTCTACAAGTTATATCCCAAAATTGTGAGCAGCGCCTCCCATGCGTACACACAATCAAATGTATATACATACATACATACATATGTATGTGAGCACTTCACAAGATCGACCAAATGCAAATGCTGGGATTTAAAATTGCTACAGGCAGCAAGAGCTTCGCACACAGGCATACAAATGCTCATAGTACATGTAGCATACTGTAAGTGTGTGTGTGCATGCTCGTCGCGAAAACATTTTCATTATGCGCACCAACGCTTTCATACTCTTCCCACAAATAATAACGAAAACGCATGGCAAACGGCTTGAAGAGTTCGGAATACTCTTCACTCAGAAGGGAAGGCATGGGTTCTCGCTGCGAAGAAATTTCAATTTTCGTTAGCGTACTTGTGCTCACATGCAGTACATAGTACATGTAGCAAGGGACAGTGTGTGTGTGCATGCTCGTCGCGAAAACATTTTCATTATGCGCACCAACGCCTTCATACCCTTCCCACAAATAATAACGAAAACGCATGGCAAACGGTTTGAAAAGTTCGGTATACTCTTCACACATAAGGGTAGGCATGGGCTCTCGCTGCGAAGAAATTTCAATTTGTGAGCGCTGCTTGTGCTCAAATGCATACATACATATACATATTTGAGAGAGCAGAGAGCATCGTGAGAGAGAGAGAGCAAGGGAAACATTCAGCGCAGCTGGATCCTTTGTTCAACAGTCGACCATCTCGGTCGAGCGCATGAAGCGAAATGATTGTGCTTTCGTATGTTTTCGTAGCTCGAACCCAAAAAGTGAAGAGCCGAGCAAATACGAAGTGTCTGGGAGATAACTCCCGAAAAAAAGTGTGCAAAACGCTTTACACTACTTGTCCGGTCTATGTGTTCTCTGGTTAGTGAAAATACCAAAACATGCAACGGTCTGGCAGCCTTCTTCACACAGCTGTTTCAGTTTGCGAAATTTTCATTTCATATTTGTTTTTGTTTTGCATTTACGTAGTTTGTTTTGTTTCGGGTTTCCTTAAGTTCGCTTTTTAAATGTAAACATGAACAACGACTGGCCTGCTGATGATGCTGAAATCGATCTGGCATTAAATGATGAGGCCCTGGGCAAGCTACTTGATACACCAACCAAATCAGAGCCAAAAGTGATCTCTGAATGCGTTGGCTTCGATGAGAGCGCAGGTAACAGTTGGCTTTACCCGAGCAATTTACCGCTTCGCTCGTATCAGCACAGCATTGTGCAGGCGGCACTTTATCGCAACACGCTGGTTGTGCTGCCCACTGGACTGGGAAAGACCTTCATTGCAGCAGTTGTGATGTACAATTTGCATCGATGGTATCCCGAGAGCAAATTGATTTTCATGGCACCAACTCGTCCGCTGGTGGCTCAGCAGATCGCCGCGTGCCAAAAGATAATGCCCTTTTGCCCGGAGGACACAGTGGAGCTGACTGGACGTCTGCCGCGTGCCAAGCGCGCGGAATTGTGGGCGACCAAGCGCGTCTTCTTTGCCACGCCCCAAGTGGTGCAATCGGATATGCTAGACACGGGCGATGGGTTGCAATTCCCCTACATGTCCATCAAATTGCTCGTTGTGGACGAGGCGCACAGGGCCAAGGGACGATATGCATACACGCAGGTTCAATAATCAAGAAACACATTAAAGATAAATATACAATTATAAAATGAAAAATTATTCTACCAGGTAACGGACTCGCTTATGGCTCGCAATCCTTACTTCCGCATGCTCGCTCTGTCTGCAACGCCAGGGCGCACCATGGAGGACGTGGCTGCTGTCTGCCGCAATCTGTACATCTCCCATCTCGAAGTGCGCTGGGATGACTCCATAGACGTGCGACAGTATGTGCACAAGCGTAGCATGCGCACAATTGTGGTGCCCCTCAATGATCGAATCAAGGAGCCGCGTGCAGAGCTTTTGCAAATCATTGATCCTTATCTGCGTCAGCTGATTACAGCAAATGTCCTCAAGGGAGCTCGTGGTAATATTTCGCGCAACAATCTGCTCTTCGACCAGAGCCGCTATCAGGAGCACGTAGCCCGGGGTGAACGTCATCCGGAGCACAGCTTGATTGTCAGCAACTTTGCTATGTGCATTAGTTTGTATCATGCGCTGGAGCTGCTCGAGCGCCATGGCCTGCGCGTCTTTGTGAACAACTTTGATGCAGATGAGAATGGAAGGGATAAGTTTGTACTAAAGGATCCTGCGCTTAGGGAGCTGGTGGAGAAGGTTCGCCAAGAGCTGGGTGCTAATCCACTAGAGCACTCGACGCACGCCATGACCAATGGGCAGGTGGCGCCGCTTCCTGCTAGCCTGGACTTTGGCCATCCCAAGTACGAGCAGGCGAGACAAGTGCTCTTAACGCATTTCGAGGTGGTTTCTATTGCCTATTGACGATTGTCCAGTTGATTGACTAACGATGCCTTGTTTCAGTCCCATCCAGATTCGCGTGCGATCGTCTTCTGCGAGTATCGTGAGTCCGTGATGCTGATTCAACGTTTACTACTGCAGCATAGGCCGGTGCTGCGTCCGCGCTGCTTTGTGGGCCAAAGCTCAGGAACCAATGGAATCTGCGCCTTAACCCAAAAGGAGCAGCTGCAAATTATGTCGGACTTTCGTCAAGGCGTGAGCAACGTGCTGGTGGCCACGTCCATTGGCGAGGAGGGCCTGGATGTAGGTGAGGTGGAGCTGATTGTGTGCTTCGACATCTGCAGCTCGAATCCGACACGATTCGTGCAGCGCATCGGGCGCACTGGCAGGCAGAAGAAAGGCGATGTTGTCATGCTGGTCACGGACGGACGAGAGCAGCAGCTGCTCAAGGAAATGCTGGCCAACAAGGATCAAATGAATCGCAAGCTGCTGCAGTCGACGTTGGTCAAGAGCGCTTTGTACCCACACTCGCCACGCCTCGTGCCGCCTCAATTTCATCCGCGGTGCGAACAGCGCCTCATGGAATCCATTAAGCCCAAGCCGCAGACGCCTTCGCCCAAAGCAAAGGGACGCAAGCAGCCCGTACAGCCGACGGTGAAATGCCACGATCTGCGCAGGTATTTCACGCAGACCCAAGACAAATTCCTGCAGGGCGAACCCGCATACAAAGTGAGCGAGGCCTCACAGCGGCTGCTGCAGGAGCAGGCGGCGCGGCAGAGCGTGCCGATCAAGAGCTTTCTGCTGGATACGCAGGAGAACAATGAACCGATTGAGGCAACTCCTCCATCAGCAGCTAGCAGCGGCAGTCAGGAGCAGGTGCA